GCACGAGTTCGTTTTATCGAGATTGTACTGAATAATAATATTTCTCTATATTTATGATCGATTAAAATTGAAAGGAAAAGAAAACAAATTTTTTCGTAGAAAATTTAAACACGAACTTGGTTTAACCACAACATCATAAAAACTGTGAATGGAGAAACGGCCATAAAAGTATAAAGGGGAAGTTTCAACGTTATTTAGAACTTGGCGAGAGCGTTTATATCAGTTTATTAAAAGTTGTTCACTTAAAAGTAATTTTTGAAAATGAATAGGTTCGCGTAAAAAATTTATAACTTACCATCCAAAAAAGTGTTAAATTGGCAAAATTGGTATACGATTCTATAGTAGAAAGAACACTAAATATGAGGCACACGAGGACTAGCATAAACCTGCAAGAAAAAAAAGAACACATAAAAAAACAACATTAGAAACACACAATGGACCGTTTTTCTTTTTAAGCAGAGGCAGTTGAAGCCGGCACCTCCACCAAAGAATAAAAATGAATCATCATAAAAATTGTCATAAAAACTCTTTGAAATCTCTTTTATACGGTCGTTACAAGTCTTTCTGATTCTCATTAACCGTCGTTGACGTCACCATTTTGTTTCGTTTTGCTTTATATTTCTTTCTGTAATAATTGAATGGGTAACCGCGGGTTACGTAAATGATCCAAAAAGTGAGAGGAGCGTTTTGAACGTAACGATCCAAAGCGTACATGGTTTGTTATTCTTGCGTTCGTGGTGAAATTGGTGGCTGCGGTACCGTTTCGCTGTCATATTAAGGGTAGTAAACATCTACCTCACAAACAAACCACAATTACCACAATTTGCTACCTCTAACATTACATAAACCATAACAGTCTATATTTAGACAATATAGGTATTACTACGGTTAATAATTAGGTGAATGTTAACTAATCTAGATTATTTCTTATCATATATGATAAGTTTATATGTCTACTTAATTTATTACAATAAATAGTGATATATGTATAAGTTATATTACCAAAGTTAAAAATAAATAAAGAATAATAGATAATATAATAATATAAATAAATAGATAAATGTTGTAAAAAAATATAAGCGTTAATATAAACTAACTACATCAGTAAAGTGTTAATAGCCGAGGTTGCTAACGACCGAGGAGCTACATATCCCTCCATTAAAGAAATAGTTATAAAAGTTTCTTGGCGTAACAATCCACAGAGTTAATGTGACAAGAGGTAAGGTTGTTTGCGACCAAGGCACTCGCTACCGACGCTTAATTCTACCGTTACAGAGATGATAGCCAAGGTCGCTTGCGGCCGAGACGCTACATTTTCCTCCATTAAAAAAATGGTCATCGAAATTGCAATCGAGGCTCTACAATCTACAGCGTTAATATAATAAGATACTATATTCTACATCATTAAAGTGATAATAACCGAGTTGCTACATTTTTTTTCATTACAGAAATAGCTTGAAAGCGACAGTGATGAGTGCCAAGGTTGCTTGCGACCGAGGCGCTATATTCTACATCATTAAAGCCATAATAGCCGAGGTCACTTGCGACCTTGGGGCTACACTATTCTCCATTACAGAAATAGTTAACGAAGTTGCTTGAAGCCGAGGCGCTACAATCTAGAGCGTTAATGTGATCAGTGCCAAGGTTGCTTGCGACCGAGACACTATATTCTACACCATTAAAGTGATAATAGCCGAGGTCACTTGCGACCTTGGGGCTACATTATACTCCATTACAGAAATAGTTAACGAAGTTGCTTGAAGCCGAGGCGCTACAATCTAGAGCGTTAATGTGATCAGTGCCAAGGTTGCTTGCGACCGAGACACTATATTCTACACCATTAAAGTGATAATAGCGAAAGTCGTTTTCGACCGAGGCGCTACATTTTCCTCCATTACAGAAATAGTTAACGAAGTTGCTTGAAATCGAGCCGCTACAATCTAGACCGTTCATGTGATAAGTGTCAAGGTTGCTCACGACCGAGGCGCTTAATTCAATATTGTTTTCTCAAAAACTATAAGCTGTTTTTCAAAATAGGTTAGTACATTGGAAAGAGGACACTTTTATTAACACTTTGGGAAATTTTCAAACTCATATTCCAAGAAATGGATTTTATACGAATTTTTAAAACTTAATCGGCGAAAATTGCAAAATTCGAAAAAATTGTCGATTATTTCAAAAATTTATTTCTCAAGAAAGGAAAGTGATTTTTCAAAACGGCTTTTTGCATTAAAAAGAGGATACTTTAATTAATAATTGGTGATATTTCCACGAGGGTCCTTCAAGAAATTAATTTTATAGCGAACTTTGAAAATTATCGATGAAAATTGCAACATCGAAAATGTTATCAAAACTTTAAATACTGTTTTCTCAAAAACTAAAAGTTATTTTTCAAAATGGATTGGTTCATTGGAAAGAGGACACTCTTATTAACACTTTGGGAAATTTTCATACTCATATTCCAAGAAATGGATTTTATACGAATTTTTAAAACTTATCGATGAAAATTGCAACATCGAAAATTTTATCAAAACTTCAAATATTGTTTTCTCAAAAACTAAAAGTTATTTTTCAAAATGGATTGGTTCATTGGAAAGAGGACACTCTTATTAACACTTTGGGAAATTTTCATACTCATATTCCAAGAAATGGATTTTATACGAATTTTTAAAACTTAATCGGCGAAAATTGCAAAACTTGAAAAAATTGTCTATTATTTCAAAAATTTATTTCTCAAGAAGTGAAAGTGATTTTTCAAAACGGCTTATTGCATTAAAAAGAGGATACTTTAATTAATAATTGGTGATATTTCCACAGGGATCCATCAAGAAATTAATTTTATAGGGAATTTTGAAAATTATCGATGAAAATTGCAACATCGATAATTTTATCAAAACTTCAAATATTGTGTTCTCAAAAACTAAAAGTTATTTTTCAAAGTGGGTTGGTTCATTGGAAAGAGGACACTCTTATTAACACTTTGGGAAATTTTCATACTCATATTCCAAGAAGTAGATTTTATACGAATTTTTAAAACTTAATCGGCGAAAATTGCGAAATTCGAAAAAATTGTCGATAATTTCAAAAATTTATTTCTCAAGAAGTGAAAATGATTTTTTAAAACGGCTTATTGCATTAAAAAGAGGATACTTTAATTAATAATTGGTGATATTTTCACAAATATCCTTCAAGAAATTAATTTTATAGCAAATTTTGAAAATTATCGATGAAAATTGCAACATCGAGAATTTTATCAAAACTTCAAATATTGTTTTCTCAAAAACTAAAAGTTATTTTTCAAAATGGGTTGGTTCATTGGAAAGAGGACACTTTTATTAACACTTTGGGAAATTTTCATACTCATATTCCAAGAAGTGGATTTTATACGAATTTTTAAAACTTAATTTTCGAAAATTGCAAAATTCGAAAAAATTTTCAATCATTTTACTATCGACTATCTATTAAAAAGAGGATACCTTAATTAATAATCGACAGTGATAACAGTGACAGTTCTGTTAGTAATAAATTAATAATATTGTATTAATATTAATAAAAAAACTATTGATTTAAAGATTTTAATTAGCATATATACGGTGGCATGCAACTTAAAACCTGAACTATAACTGTAGGAATATTTGCGATGCAAATTTTAACGAGAATGAGTACCAAAAATAGAAAATCCCTTTGCTTAGGAGATACGAGAATAACCCGGCGAGATTTGTTATTCAAATTTCTAAGAACAAGAAGTAATAGTCTACCGAAAAACTCACTGAAGGTGATTTTCAATCATTTATGAAAAATTCAAGAAAAACATTACAATTTATTCAGCTGCCTCTTAAAAGATCAATTTTACACTCAACTTTTTAACAATAAAACTTTTTTATACCACCCTTAGCGTTTGATTTATATTAAAAATTCCCATTGGACCTCACTCATTTATAACACGTAAAAGTTCTCTTTCAGCATTTTGACAAACCCACGTTTGTGAGACGATTTAAAGGTCTCACCATTTCAACCGCAGCAATTTCGCGGGTACTGAACTTGGTTTTGTGTCCCGAGTCCAATTTATCACACCCAAACGCCTGGGGATTAAACACCGTTGTTGTCGCAGACCGTAAAAGCGCTACAATGCAAGCGGGAAGTCTTGTGTAATTACGCCTTTATAAGTATGTAGCGTCTTTGTTTCATTTTCGACTTCCTTTTAAAGTTAAATAACAAGAATTTAACATTCAACATTAGTTTACTTTACGGTTAAGTAAAGCGTAGTTGTAATTTCCGTCGTTCTTTGTTGGAATTGATTATTTTTTTTTTGAGCCAACTACGTGTGAAACCTTTATATGAAGGGAAACGTTTTCATAAAGAATCGTTAGCGTGGACTCTTAAGCGTCTTGTCAAGGCCGTGGTTTCGATTTCCTATAAATTGTAGTGGTCATTATTTTTTCTGGAATTTAAATTTGTATTCAACGAAATGTTTGGATGTAAAAAATTTCAAAAATGTTGCGAATCCCATAAATTTTATCTAGGAGAACACGTCGTTTACGACCAGGACATAAAATGAGAACAATTTCCTAAAGCTTCCAAACGAAAGTTGGCGCAGCTTTTTCGTAACTCGATAGAAAACCGCACGGTAGTCGTCGTCTCCTTTTCTCTCAGGACACAAAGTCCCAATGGACGGTTGAAACAGACAAAAGACCGAATGTTGCAAAATTGATAAGAAAAGGTGCAATGGCGTCAGCGAATTTCAATCAATAAACGCATCGGGAAGCTTCGAGATTATCTGATTTCCAAAATTGATTTTTATTCCAAGTAAATGTGCTTGTTACTAATACACTTTGACAGTAACATCGGACCGAAATGTTTGTGTCCATAATTTATTATTGCACTCTATCGGTCGCGTTCCGTTATTAAAATTTAATTATCGGTCATTATACAGTATCATGTGCTGGCGAAACGATCCGAATTAATGTTGATGGTGACCTTTTGTTTTAATATTTTGTTTCAAAATAGCAGTTGTATTTTGATACTTCAAAGCTATAACAATGGATGATATTAATAAAAAAGATTTAATAATAATTTACCGGCTCCTCCACCAAAAATAATTAAATTATTGAAGTTAAATTAAAATCAAATTAAAATCTTATTCAATCAATAAGATAACTTTAACACACATTTATCACGTTAAAACAGGTATTACGTTAACAAATGTAATTATCTCATCAATAATGAAAAGCAGCTTTGACAAAATGAACAGTGGACACAGATAGATCCATTACAAAGCAATATGCCGCGTTTATGTGCAACATTTTGTTCGTGTTCATTCCGCTAGGAATAATTTGGTACATGTTTAAACCGGTGGATTGAACAATTACGTGTTGTGAGCTCTGCTGGTTGAAATACCGTGAAAAATGAGATTTTTGAAATAAATTTACAACAAAAAATTTACTGGAATACTAAACGACATGCAACGGTTTTGTATGCTAAGGGTAATTTGCACAGCAAACGGCACGCAATGTCAAGGGTAATAGTTAAGAGTCTTTAATTTCGATGTTGGTATGCAAAATAAATACAAACTCTGAATTGTTTACAAAGTAATTGCCTTGGTATCTGACGTTTATAAAAATTTACCGCGTGCGTTTCTCATCCGATCGGCAAATATTTACTGCTCGAAGACACGAAATAACCCGTCTCAATAAATGTTTAACCGATATTGGAATCCTTTTGGTGTTGAGTGTTCTGGCGAAACGATATCGATTTTTAATAACGCCGTCACAGGAAATCGTGGTAAATAATTGATCGTTAAAATAAAGCGTGTGTATAAGTATGTCAAGGACGAAACGACCCACGTACCAGTACATACACAAAAAGTTATTTATTTTAATTCTTTTATAAAAGTGTATTAAAACAACATTTATATTTCTACATGTATTGTAGGTACATAATCAATCTTGGTGTGGATTTTAGTTGCTCATCTAATTGGCAAACACCTAACTAATGATCTAATCTGTTGTTTATAGTTTACTCTACGAGTAAATGTCAATAGTGGATTTAACAAAGATTTAATATTGATTAATAATCAACTCTAATTGTCTAAGTTGTCTCATTTAATTTGCAATTTTTCTTGTATCTTCATTTATTTTTCATATCTGTAATATTGGTAAGATTTAATCAAATTAATTGAAATAATTAACTTAAGAATTAAATAATTATAATTGACGAAGCATTACCTGCAATGTTTATTATATTGAAATTTTTATCTCTCTCTCCATGTGAGCATCACGTGGTTATCAGAAAAGTGCATAAAAATCCTAAATAAATCAACTGGCAAAAAATATGTTGCTTGAATTTCACCAAAAAGCAGACCACTAATACATTTCAAAGAAAATTTCGACGGAAAATTTCAGATTATCAAGATCATAATAAGAAAAGACGATAAGCTGTGATGATCTTCGTTATAGTGGCGTAGGGGGATAGCCACGGATCCACCTTCTGAAGTTTTCCCTCTTCCCAGCAAAACCCTTAGACTGCTGCATAGTCTAAACAGTCTTCCCTCGGCTGGCCGCAATCTTCGTTACTGTCTCTTCCCATGTTTCCTTCTTCCCTACCAGGCAGTTTCTTATTCTGTAATATGCCCGAATCTCAAGTTTCATCATTAACAAATTGTAAATTCATCTGATTTTCATATTATCTCATGTTTCCGGATATTTCTGTATCTGAGAGCAAAAGTGATGCAGAGCAATATTGTTTAGAATAAATTTTGCTACAACTTTTTTTCTAAAAGTTTTTCTGTAGTATGTCCGAATTTCGAATTCCATCATTAACAAATTGTAAATTCATCTGATTTTCATATTATCACATGTTTCTGGATATTTCTGCATCTGAGAGCAAAAGTGACACAGAACAATATTATTTAGAATAAAATTTGCTACAACTTTTCTTCTAAAAGTTTCTCTGTAATTTGTCCGAACCCGAGTTTTATCATCACCCATTTGTAAATTCATCTGATTTTCATATTATCATATGATTCTGGATATTTCTGCATCTGAGAGGAAAAGTGATGCAGGGCAATATTGTTTAGATTAAAATTTGCTACAACTTTTCTTCTAAAAGTTTTTTCTGTAATATGTCCGAATACGAAGTTCCACCTTTAACAACTAGTAAATTCATCTGATTTTCATATTATTGCAAGTTTCTTGATATTTCTGCATCTGAGAGCAAAAGTGATGCAAAGCAATATTGTTGAGAATAAAATTTGCTACAACTTTTCTTCTAAAAGTTTTTCTGTAATTTGTCCAAATCCCGAGTTTTATCATTATCAATTTGTAAATTTATATGATTTTCATATTATCGCAAGTTTCTTGATATTTCTGCATCTGAGAGCAAAAGTGACGCAGAACAATATTGTTTAGAATAAAATTTGCTACAACTTTTCTTCTGAAAGTTTTTCTGTAATTTGTCCGAACCCGAGTTTTATCATTACCCGTTTGTAAATTCATCTGATTTTCATATTATCATATGATTCTGGATATTTCTGCATCTGAGAGCAAAAGTGATGCAGGGCAATATTGTTTAGATTAAAATTTGCTACAACTTTTCTTCTAAAAGTTTTTCTGTAATATGTCCGAATCCCAAATTCCACCATTAACAACTTATAAATTCATCTGATTTTCATATTATCATATGTTTTTGGATATTTCTGCATTTGAGAGCAAAAGTGATGCAGAGCAATATTGTTTAGAATAAAATTTGCTACAACTTTTCTTCTAAAAGTTACCATTAATAACTAGTAAATTCATCTAATTTTCATATTATCGCATGTTTCTGGATATTTCTGCATCTGAGAGCAAAACTGACAGAGAACAATACTGTTAAAAATAAAGTTTGCTACAACTTTTGTTTTAAAAATTTTTCTGTAATATGTCCGAATCCCGAGTTCCACCATTAACAACTTGTAAATTCATCTGATTTTCATATTATCACGTTTCTGGATATTTCTGCATCTGAGAGCAAAGTGATAGACCAGCTTTATCAGGGAAAAACTAGACTCAATAAGAGACTCGACAAGAATCAATGAAGCAACCTCACTAAGTATTAATAAGACGATAGTACTTTGGTAGAGCATAATGTTGCTGCTACACACTATAGTTGGAAAAAGAACGTTCTTAAAGAAAGAATTGCACAAATTACGGATTATAGGAAGTTACTTAGGCCAGTGTTAAAGGAACAACACTGTTTCGAAAAATCGGTACCATCGCTAGCTAGAAATACAATTGTTTGTCAAAAAAACCTAAGTATTTAGGTATTATTCTAATAGAGTTACAAAAGGTGGTCTCGCGGTCCAGCGTCGTAGAGCTATTGAGAAAACGTGAAGTTTGTCATTCAAATGATTTTACAAGACTGTATGGCGATTCAGAACCTCTCAGCTAATACAAAACCTGTCCCAAGCTAGGTTGAAAGACTTTTTGAGACATGTATAAATTGACAACAGCACCTTTAGCATAAATCAAATAAATGAGAAAAAGACCGTAACCAATCGTGAAGTCCATCTACTATTCTACTGTTTGTAAACTTTATCAATACATACAAGACTGTCCTGATAAGAAAGTACGTTTAAAATTTATAAGGACGCAGCACTGATATAGTTTACAGATGACTTAACACCCTATGCAGTTCTTTGCTGATGAGCAAACTGTTGTTGCAGAAGATCTGGAATTTATGTCAAGGAAAGTTTTCGATAAGAAACACAAAATGGTGTTGAAATTGATGTCTGCTACGAATATAGTTATTTGAGATCAAAAATAACAACGGATGAGAGAACATGAAAAAAAATAGGAAGCAGAATAGGCTAAGGAAAACAACAGTTAATCTGATACACGTTGACAGAAAGTTAGAACAAAAAATTTTAAAACTTCTTTTCCAGTGGGAAAGACACAAGGAAGACCAAAGGATACCTGGATAAGCGGCATTCAGAGAATATTGTCGAAGAGAAACCTAACACCAGGTGACTAAGAGGATAGAAGTGTCATTTATTAAAAAGGTGTAATTTTTTTTGCCATTGCCAAATTTAAATAGGGTATATTAATCACGTTTAATAAACCATTTCAGACATTTTAATAACAAGCATAGTGTAATAAGATTAACGATTACGTTTTTATCGCACTTTTAGTCTTAAACAAAATTAGTTTTTGTAAATTCCAAATTTAGATTGCGTGTATTCGCCGTGTTTCGTGGGTCATTCTGTATAATTTAAGGTCAAGTAGAACGTAAGTTGAGTGGACATAATTTCATTAATAGCAGATATATACTCAACATAATTCGTTGTGTAGCTTATTTTCATCCTCAACACAGGCAAGTTTTTTAAATAAGTAATAAATGACTTTACAAATTTTATTTATTATTATTCTTAGATGATTCATGTTATGATTCATTTTATTATGATTCATTTTAGTGTGATTCATTTTATTACGATACAAATATTAACCAAGGAAGTAGTTTCTTTGAAAATAAGGGGAAAAGTTAACAAAGAATTGAAGGAGAAATCACGTCGTGGTACGAATTGTTAAACAGTATATAAAAGGGAAAATATCCACGCGATAAAATACGCAAAATCCAACAAGTTCAAATAGTAATCAATCTTATTAAACATCAACGTTTCCCCGAATTCTAAATATAACGTAGAAAATTTCAGCCGAAGATTTAATTGAACTCAATCGATTTTACGTCAAACCTAAAACTATCCTCTTTACAAAAATTTATCCCGGCAAGTTTTTAAAAACTTTAAAAATCTTTTAACTTACACTGTAAAATGGTAGATGAAGCACAACCATCCACCGGGATGTTCCAAAAACACATACGTCCTTTCTTGTACGGTTTTACCCTTTTTATGATGGAAAACGTACTTTGCTTTAAACGCTTGATCAATAGGTAGATAAATCGGATAATACGGATCTGGAACACCCCGCGGTGTTTCCGAAACTTCCTCGCCCTCTTCCTCATCGACAACATCTTCTGCGGAAATAACGTCATGAGATTTTCCGTGTCCCCTGGAGAAACGATTTTTTCGTTTTAACGGGGTTGGAACGCGTTTGTGGTGTGCTTCGCCAAAACGAGGTGCGCGATGACCTCTTAAACGATGAAGGAATGGTAAACGTTCTGTTGGTTCACAATCGGTTAACTCGTCTTCACTTCCGGTAGCTGGTCCAGTCGTGGAAGTAGATTTGTACCTTTTCGATTTGGGTTATTATTTTATTTTATTAAATCTTGTTTGGATGATGATTTGATATAAAATTTTAATTAGAACTAAATTAATTCAAAATCGTTTATGCGAAAAGGTGCTTGAGAAATCCTTTGAAAGATGGGAAAATGCGTTACATCACTAGGGGGTGGTTATGTATAGCATCTAAATCGTGATGCTGAAATTGGATCGTGGTGGAGTGAACTGGTTTAATGAGTAACTTAATCTCGGGACAATTGGCTTGAAACGTATCCCGGAAATAACATCGAGGATTCAGAAACTACTAATTGGATACCGTTCTGACTTTTAAACGAATAAGGTTTTCCCCAAGGTGGAAAGTTGCGGACTCACTTCCTGCAATTTCGAAAGGAAATCACTTATTTACACACGGATGCGATTACTATTACGAAACGTTTACGAGGATTAATTTTATGTTTCGTTTTTTGCATCATTTAATTAATTTTTGCAGACGATATCGTTGTGGATAAAAATGGTTATTAAGTTAATTTGATGGTCTACTTTTGATAACTTTCCCCAGTTGTCGACAATCACTAATGCAATTACGTGGCTTCAATTCACTTAATGCAAACGCAGCCAATCCTCGAAAACGGAATCAGTCGTTTATGGATTGTTTCTAACTAACAAATAAGCGTGGAGATTGCGGAAACGGAAACCGGTTTCGTAGATGAGTCTCTGGTTAAGTGAATTAAAAACGAAACTCAAATTTCCTCTTGTCAGCTACACATGCATTCGGGACTTTGAACTTTGCCATTTCACCCGCTCCGAAGACAGACAATCTCTTTGGATCAATAACGGAGGGAGTGCTGAATTTAAAGTGAAATGTAGAAATTGTTATAGTAGAAGTTGAAAAGTTAACCCAAATCATTTCAATCTAGTTCAACTTTCCGCGCATTTAGATTTCTATCTATTCGTTCCAACTTTACAACAGTGTCTTCACGACCAGAAATGAGAATTCGATAACATGGCCTTCAGACACATATCAGAATGTTGGGGAAAATCTTGATTGCAGTAACCCAGCGTTTTCGCAATTTTGAATTTATCCAAACCCGGTTCCCATCGGGTCAGAAAATTACTGTAGTCACGCAAAGAACCGGTAGACCGTGTTGGGCTTGTGATAGATGTGACGTAAAAACGAATTGCAAAAGACCCAAAGTTAACTTTTTCTTGAAAAATCAAATCATCATCCAAATTAATTTATTTCTTCTCCACACCAACCTCGGTGGATCATCCTCTGGTGTATCTCCACATAACGCAGCTTCAGATCCCGATCCACCGTAAGTCCTACCATGTTCACTTCCAACATGATTTATAGGACTTTTCAACACGCTTAGAACCAGATCTTCAGGATACACATCATGACACTTATTCCTCTCTTCGTAAGCTTTCGCGCAAGAATTTCTCCTGCTGCGTTCGCTTTCGAACAAGGACGTAGGATGCGCATGGTTCCCAGCTATGGGGACCAGGCTCAGCTTCCTACTGGTCCTGTAGAGGTTCTCTTGTTCCGACCGGTTCATATCGCCGAACATCACTAGTGACAGCATCGGGTAGTCGGCGGTAACCACCCGGCCTTCGCGGATCTAAGTAGCATTTGTCCTCCTCTAGGACAACATAATAGGATCAGGAAGGATAAGGGAATTTATAGGGATTGGGTTGGGGGAATGATTCGAAATTGACGGACGAAGACGTGGTGAAAGGATTATGTCATTGCTGTTTAAGAAAAGAATAAATAAAATTAATTGATACAAAAATTTACATTTTTTAAGTTATTTGCGATGGGAAAACTTCTGCCAAAATCTTGTGTACAAACCAAGAAATTTTTAAAATTAACATAAAACTATATATACTTAGAAATTTAAATCGTAAAGTTTTTATATCGAAGTATTTAATAAAGAGTGTACGTTTTGATCGGCGTTGACGATTAACGATCCATAAACGTGTAAAGGAACGGGATCTGAAACGTCGAAAATGAACAAAGCCGATTTTAATGAAAACGTGAAACAACAAACGAGTTTCAGAGATCAACGATTTGGACACGATGGATATAACAGGTGACGTAAATATCGCGTAATCCTTAATGTGAGAACGGAAAATGTTGGATTTGTTGAGATTGAAACGTTTCTTGTACAAAACAACAATCACAACTAAAAATTTAGAAATATTAACACAGATGATTAATTGATTGGTTCAATTTTAGACAGATATCGAATTATGCTTATGGGAGATGTTGTTTTATTTTTTCGGAATTCTTCTTTTTATTCTTGTGTGATAGAGTTCGCTATATTGTGAAAAAGATTTCAACAGGAGATATGATTAGAAATGCAATTTTCTTCTGTAAGATCCTCGATTAGCTTATGGTGTACAAACTGGTTTTCTTCACGGTCTGATTCGCCACGTTTTCATGTAATGGACCTAATGGTATTGTAATGTTTCCAACAAAAAAAGTACGAGGTTAAAATCATTTTCATCATCCAATTCCTGTGTTAGTTGAACCAAATTGATTTGGACGATACAAAAATCTATTCAGTGTTGCTTACTATGCGGGCTATTCCTGCAAGGCAAAACGCCCCTCATATACGGATTGGAGTGTGGCTAGAAAAGTGGTCACTTGCACATCCGTGGACCAGGCGATTCAAACATTTAAGCCTTTCGACCCATCAGCCTAACGTCATTTCTGTTGAAAATCCATGAAAAAGTTCTGGAATGGTATATCCGTACTGTGCTATTGATATCTGGTCCACTGAGTCGCCACCAGTATGCTTATCAAGCGGGAAAATCAGCAGAATTGGGTCTACACAACTTAGTTGGTAGAGTATCCAGGACGCTGCAGGATAAAGAAATCTTGGTTTGTGCGTTTCTGGATATAGAAGGAGCAATACCACAATTTCTTGAAAGAGCTGCTCTTGACAGGGGAGTGGAAGCAATTATAGCGGGTTGGATCCGCAATATGCTTGATAGTAGAATAGTTTCTACTTCACTGCTACTTCGCTGCCCGCAGGGAGGGGTGTTATCTCCCCTGCTTTGGTCCCTCCTGGTTGATGATCTGATTGCGATAGTCGAGGCCGTTGGTGTAGAAATACAACCTTATGCTGATGACATTGTCGTTATGGTCAAAGGAACCTGTTTGTCGAGGATATCTAAAGTCGAGAACATCTCGATAAACCCGCAAAAGACAATTGTTGTGCCCTTCACCAGGAAACGAAAGTTGGATGGACTAACCGCCCAACTGTCCAAGGCGAAGAAATTCCTTTCTCAAAGGATGTCAAATATGTAGGAGTAATCCTAGACAAAACCTTGTCATGAAATGGACTATCCATTGTTAGACTATCCTTGTGGACATTCTGAGAAGGTTGACACTATAGATGTAGAGTCTCTAGTCAACGAGATTGTATCTTTAGCCAATAACATTGGACTAGAGGTAAATAGCAATGATATTGATGAACTTGTGGAAGACAATAATCAAGAGTTGACCACCGAAGAACTTACAGAATTGCTTCGTCTATCACAGCAAGAAGATGTGGAGGAAAGTGTTTCAGACAAGAAAGCACTAATCTGATGCAATCAAAGAAATGCTAAAAGCATGAGAAAATGTTGCGTCATTCGTTGAAAAACATCACCCTAATGAGGTTGTGGCTGTACGAGCTGCAAATTTATTTTACGACAATGCTGTGTCACATTTTGAAGCGCCGTCGAAAGCAAACATCACTAGATGGCTTTCTAGTAAAAAGTGATTAGGTATGTGGCATAAATTCATAAATAATAAACTACTGGAAGAAATAATAAAACCTGGTAAATAAGAGTTTTTACTTTACGAGTAAGATTCTGGAACGAATTATGCTCGTTATGCGAGGTTCAACTGTATTTTTGCTCCAATATCACCAGGCTACTATAAAAACAAAATCAACTTTCGAGCTTGCAATTGGAGCGTCGTAGCCACCAACCCCTGGAATAACGTAGCCCTCAGCCCTTCTGAAGCGAAAGTTCACCACCTAATCCAAGGTCCAGATCAAAACAACCTGACTTTTCGATAGCCCGCTCAGATAACAATTTAGCAACCAACACTGCGTCAGTTTAATTAGCGAGTAATCCCTAGCGTCTAGTATTTTTGAATACTTCTGTTCTTCCTGTATTAACTTTTTCAATTCTTTAGTCACTTCATTAAGTTATCTTTACTTTTCGACTTGTTACCATCATTTCCACAATTATTGGGTTTCAGCAATTTTTTTCTTTGGCTGATGAATTCTTTGGCTGAAATAATTCGAGGTTATATGGAAGCCTTCTTGTATATGATTCATCAAGTTAACTTTTATGCGCAATTCTAATGTTAGTCCGAGATTTCTCTATGAATACATCTTGGCTGTTTTTTATTAGATAATAAGTTTATTCTTCTTATTATTATATACACACTTCGTGTAATACCCTTTCAAAAGAAATTTCTCAACACTAGGGATGTAAGTTTGCCCCCAATTCCTAGGTTTGAAAGCTTTTCGTGTATCGGCTCTTAATCGGATTATTTCTGTAATTGAGCAATTTAGCTTAAAACAAATCCATCTATCCGAATAATTAATGATATGAATAGGTCTCTTCCAGGTCTTGAGATGTAGTTAGGGAGTTCTGATTACATCAATTTTCCAGAAATCTTAAAATATGCTTGGAATTTGATTATGCTTTGTGTTTTGAGAAGAAGAAACGTCTTGCATCTTCTGGATTTAATGCCCAATGTGTAAGTGCACTTATTTCAACATCCCTAATGCTGGTAGAGTTCATTATCTCGTCATTAAAATTATACAAAAGTAGACCATCTATTACGATCTTCTGACTATTAATAATAATTTTAGGTATTGTTACACAACACTGTCTTGGCGTTAAGATAACTTCGTAGATATTTGATCCTCTTCATCTCTCGTTTCTCCCAGCAATGTTGGGTTTTGAATTTTTGCTGTGCACAAAACATTAGGGATTGTTTTTGGGAATGTACGAAATCTTACTTTTTGTACCGGATGTTTAAGATCTAAGCATTATACATGTTATATAGTTTAATTAACAAAATTATTCTAATTCATATATATCTAATAAAATTTGGAATTGTTGTGTACACATTATTATAAAGAAGTTTTCCTCGCAAATTTTTTCTTTGTACAACATATTATGAGAACATACATAGTTTAACGTCACTCAAGATTTTAATTATCAATGTTGTTTCACCTGTTTTACATGGAAACACTATAGAATGTATTTGATTTATTATAATTTCACCTCCATCGATAGGAGAATTAATTGAATTTCAAAGCAGAGTACACTAATGAATTAAATCACGAAAACACGTAGGCTCCGCCGAGGAACTCGAAGCTCATCTTGTTATCTCAACAGCTCAGCTTCTGTTTCAATCAAGGAGTGAGTAAAAAGTTTGTTGTCTCCTTCTCTCTTTTATAACAAAATCTCAATTTCTTCCGGATTTATTAACTTTTCCGAGTGTTTCACCAATTCGACTAAAAATTGACCGGATGAGAAACAAAACCGCTTCATTTGATGAATTAATTAAAACGAGGTCTGCTCAGTTTTATTAATTAAAAATTCATCCCCCGGGCGAGTTTACCGCCGCCACCAGAACGAGGCCCATAATTAACGTTAGAAAATCTTAGAAAGGATAAGGCCTTGATATCAGGTTTAATAGGTAATTAGCGTGGAGACGAGGTGTTTGTCCTAAGGGACGCGAAAGGGCACCACTCAAAGATGCCCGACATTATAAGGCGAGTACACTCGGTAATGGGCGGCTCTTGAAACAAGAAGGAAGTGGCCATTGTTCTAGTTTTGCAAGATGAAAACCTCTATTTCTCTAGAAGAAAAAACCGACTTTGTCTTCTTTTAATATATCAAAAAAAGAATTATTTAAACTAATTAAAAAAATTTAACCATTTATTTAATAAAATGATGTCATTAATATCCGATTCATCATCTTTCACATGATTAGAGAATGTAATGTAACATTCTCTATTTGATAATGAAGATATTTTTTAGTCTCAAATAATAAGATGTAACCCATTTTTAAATTTTAACTCGGACGCCAAGGTTAATAAATTATGCATGTAGTTTTCATAAAACCATCGCATGTTCCGTATATTTTACTATATAAAAACGCACATGCAACCACCTTAACTAATATCTAATCTCACATTCATATGAGATCGGACGCCCTACAAAATAATCCGTAACAACATGTAATTCAAATAATTTAGATTTTATTCCACGTGTGCATTTTACTCAATCAATATTTAACGGGAAACTTATTTTCCAAGAAAATAGGTTGCCACTTTTACCAGAAAATTTCGCGTGAAGGAAACTGTCCAAAAGTACATACTTAAAGAACTGCATTACTACAGTTTAAAAGTACTGTTTTAAAAGTGCTTTGAAGTGTTAAATTACTTTTTCATGATGTGCGAGTTTTCCCTCTTTTTTCCTATTTTTTACAATGTTTCAAAAATAATAAAATTTCCAATATAAATAAATAAACGTTTATTTCCATTCAATTTTATGGCGTATTTATTTGTTTTATAGTGTTGAAAATCGAAAAAAAACAAAAGGAAACGGCGATTTCCATGTTAATTTCAAAGTGTGCATAAATCCATAAATTTTCCCGGCCCTTGCGACGGTTTCGAGCTCAAAGTACATCGATTTAGCAGTCCATCACGGCGTCGTCGTTTCAACAAAAT